CGTCTCTTGGCAACAGGCGCGGGGGACGCGGGACGCGGGACGAGGGCACAGGGGACATGGGCACACAGTGGGACATGGGACATGGGGACATCGCAGGACATCGGATGTGGGGGGACATGGGACATGGATCGTGGGGACACAGCAGGGCGTGGGGGGACATGGGACGCGGGCAGACATGGGACATGGGGACATCGCAGGACATCGGATGTGGGGGGACATGGGACATGGATCGTGGGGACACAGCAGGGCGTGGGGGGACATGGGACGCGGGCAGACATGGGATATGGGGCACAGGGTAAGGGGACATACAGGGACAGAGGACATGGGGGGACAAGAGCATTGGAACAGGGACCATGGGGACACGGGTGGACATACATGGGACATGGGGACATCGCAGGACATCGGATGTGGGGGGACATGGGACATGGATCGTGGGGACACAGCAGGGCGTGGGGGGACATGGGACGCGGGCAGACATGGGATATGGGGCACAGGGTAAGGGGACATACAGGGACAGAGGACATGGGGGGACAAGAGCATTGGAACAGGGACCATGGGGACACGGGTGGACATGGGACATGGGGCACATGGGGATGGGGGCACAGGGACAGGGGGCATGGGGGGGACACAGGGCACAGGGACACACGGACACACGTGTACAGAAACACCTGGGGTCTCATGTCCACACACATGCACAGGCACATACATGCGCACACACCTGGACACACGTGTGCACACGCACACTGACACAATGTCACACACGTGTGCACACACACGTGTGCACACTCACGCAGCTCGGGCCCTGCTTCCCCACCCACGGGGTCCCAGGGGGTCCTGCAGGCCTGCGGGGCGGGGGAGAGGTGGTGGTGGCAGGGGGCCCAGAAAGCTGATGGCGTGGCTGGCAGCGCATCTCCACAGCCTTTCTGGGATGAGGGCTGCAAGTCAACTTAATTATCTAAACAGGAGAAAAATCAATGCCCTGGCAATGCCAGTCCTATTTCTGGCCAGAAGATGTCAAAACTCAGCTTCAAAACACATCTTGAGTCATAACCGCATCCGATCCGTGGAAGGAACCACACTTCCCGGCCTCGTCAGGAGCAGGGATGAACACCTCTCGTTGCAGGATCTTCATCACATACAGAACGCGATGCCAGAAACCAAGCGTCTTGAGAAGAGGAGGAGGGGACAGCACGTATGTGACGCAGCCTGGAGCTCCTCTTTGTGCACAGGGGATCCCATGAAAAATCTGAATATGGGGTCGTGAATTAAAAGCTGTGTTAAAGGCCGTGCCTGTGTTAGGTGGCTGATTGAGACCACAGAGATAATTGCAACACCAGGCTGCTGGTCTCTGTAGCGGCCCGTGTTTCGTGACGCTCTGAGCTGAAGCAGCCAGCATTTCGTCGTTCGGTGGGATAGGGAGAGGCAGCCGCGGGAGCCCGGGGGGG